AGCGTCGTACGACGAAAATCGGATGCAGTGTGAATCCAGCATAAGTGGACCGTAGCCTACGACGCTTCCGCGCCGCACGACGCGCGTCCAGATGAATGAAGAGACTGTCAATATAGAGATGCAATGCACAGAAGCCGGTCAGGCGACCAGACGGCCAGCCACGCTTTTCAAAAATATAATCGAGGTGACGTAACACCCGAGACGAGAAAAAACACGTCCGACCCGTTCGAGTGATCTCACGAGACTCATGCCTGGTTTATGCTTCGGTCTTAATCCTAAAATCCTAAAATTCAACCAATGGAATACAGATTTTAGTTAGGACCAATTAAGACTGGCAGACCTATTGGCTGAATTTTAGGATTTTAGGGTTAAGACCGAAGCATAAACCAGGTATCAGTTGCTCAGTTCCTTATCGATGTGTTCCCATCTTCAACTACACGCACAGTTCTGTTAACGCCATCCGTTGGAAAACAGCGAGAACTTATTCAAGGTCCTAATATATTATATTATCCAATTTATAAGAATTTAGTATTTCGCATTGCTTTTGTATTATATTTGCATAAGATTCATGTAAAATTAACATAAACAATACATAAAAATTTCATGTAAATGATATAGCACGAACGAGAATAAAAAAAAATCGTAGACATAGCAAGGAAGAGAACCACAAAGTTGTGGATGTTATCTACGGAATCATGGACATTGACTACGTAGTTCAATATACACATTTTGTGAACACAGAGGCGCTTCAAAATAAAGTAAATTGCAAGCATAACCGAATCACTTGTAAATTTCTCTGTGACCTGTGTGGTTTGCCGTTATTCACAAAAATGGCAGCCGTGCTGGATGAAGTCGGCAAATCCGCCGAGAAACTTGTGAACGAGGAGAAGGACGAGATTGTTGACGAGGAAGATAAAACCGGAGCAGCAGAGGCATCGAAGAAAAAGAAGAAGAAAAAAAAGAAGAAGAAGGCTGGTGCGTTTTGTTCGAGTATTGTCTTTAAACGACGAACAGGTCTCAAGTATTACACCTCGATTTTTTACGGCACGCGGTCCTCAGTTGATGATTTAATGAATTTTCTATTCACGTCGTGATAGAACCGGCCACGAAGTTGTCGGGACGATTCGCTCAATTATTCTTGTAAACGTTTGTGAACTCCTTTACAAGGTTTTGTTTAAATCTGCACAAATAGCGCGAGCACATTGTTGATCATTAAGATATTTGTATTTAAAATGGAGTAAAACCTTGAGAAATTTCAAAGCTTATCCTAAAGGAAATCGCTTCTTCGAACGTAAGATGACGTGGAAACATTTCGTGTTTATATGCATTGATATCGTATTAAATGATGAAAATTCGATTCTGTGTTGTTATCGAATTTTATATAAAATTATAAGAGATTAAGATCTGTTTTTTAATAATTGAACTATTATACAGTCTTTGTACTTAAAGTAAAATAAGTATGTTTAGCATAATATTTGGTAAAAGCAAAAAGGAGAATTCTAGTTGCAGTTCAGTGCAGAAATAAAAAATCTGCTCTTTGTGGCTGCCTAAAACTTTCTCTGCTCTGGATTACATTTTCTTTTTGTTAAACTTCAAAAATATATATATTTCATTTTAAGTACGAAAGTATGTATGTTCAACTGCAAAGAACAATCTTAAGCTTAAACATGTGACTTTGAAAATAACAAACTTGAAACAAATTGTATGATATTGGAACATTGCAACTTATGGGAAGAACACTAATTATAATTTTTAACCTCTAAAAAATTCATATATATATGTATATATATATATATTTATATGCATGTTGGCTTTTGATAAAAGAAATTACATTATTGGTTCGCTATGAACATTGATAATGGAAATGTTTATACAGGTGCTGGAGAAGCTAGTGCAGATGTGCCAGAAGGAGAAGAAGATAAGGCTAAGGATGACGATGCAGTGGCCGAAGGTATTGTCAGTAACCTCTAGTTTCTCTATATTTGTATAATGACGATAAGCTGAAATTTAACATTAAATGGCTCTCGATAAATATTCATGTCGCAATGATGACAAATTATTCGGTTGAAATTTTTAGGTACCACAGAGGTAACGGAGAACAATGGTGAAAGCGAAGAGGTCAAAAAGAAGAAAAAGAAGAAGCGTAAACCCAAAGATAAGGGCGGGGTTAAGCAGCAGACGGATCCGCCGAGTATTCCCGTGTCGGAATTGTTCCCGGACGGTAATTTTCCAGTGGGACAAATAATGGTTCACGGACCTGCCGGGGTAGACGACAGAATGGCCAAAATGCGCTTCGCGAGCGAGGAGGCGCGTGCCCTCGACAGAATGCATAATGATATTTATAATGAAGCCAGGCAGGCAGCCGAGGCGCATCGACAAACCAGGAGGCATATCATGAACTGGGTATGTAAGTCTGTGTTACTGTGAGAAGAAATGTTTAATTTTCAAAGTTATGTGAATTTTTAGAATAAACATGAACTATATTTTTGCGTAAACAATATAAAGACGTTTTTCACTGTTATTGGACTTAATTTTTTTTTGCTACACTGAATTGCATTAATAAATAATATCAACAACTCTATAATATATTGCACTAATAAATAATATCAGCAACTCTATAATATATTGGAGCACACCATGGAGGAACGAAGGTATTCTAATTCCTAGACAATGACATTTCGATGCAAAAATTGTACTGTTTTCTTTGTCAGGGATTCGATTAGCAAATGCTGTTTTTAGAGAAGAATCAGAAAAATAAGTATTTGTTTACCTTCCGTTTCTCCGTCAGACAAAGTTTCCTACAGTTGAGTATAGAGAAGACGCGCTCTAGTATAGAACTCACCGGATTGCTCTAAAACTTTTTATCTCACTTTTGCTAAACGTCAAATATATATCTATTTCATTTAAAGTACACTCTAAAACTTTTAAAGTGAATTTCACTCTGAAGAATGAAATCTCACTCTTAAAGATACAAAATTGAGCCATTCTTTTTCACTCTTTAAAGTAAGATTCCACTTCAAAGAATTTGGAATAGTAGTAAGTCTCAAGCCTCAAAGAATAGACATACTATTCAGTCTATCTTAGATAACACTTGAAATCTTGCGGTTTTGCAAATGTATTTCTTTAATGATTTTCGTAGATCAAGCCGGGAATGACTATGATAGAAATTTGTAATGAGCTGGAGGAAACCGCTCGGAAATTGATAGGAGAGGATGGTCTCCTGGCTGGATTAGCGTTCCCGACCGGTTGCTCTCGCAATCATTGCGCGGCTCACTACACTCCGAACGCCGGTGATCCAACTGTTCTCGAATACGACGACGTCACTAAGATCGACTTTGGTACTCACATCAATGGGCGTATCATCGATTGTGCATTCACTTTGATTTTTGATCCCAAGTATGACCCGCTAATCGAGGCTGTTCGCGACGCCACCAATACCGGTATCAAGGCCGCTGGTATCGATGTACAATTGTGCGATGTTGGTGCTGCTATTCAAGAAGTTATGGAATCGTACGAGGTGGAACTGGATGGCAAAACGTATCAGGTATGAAATATAGAATGTTATATGTAAAGTGTAATTTATTCGGTTTAATTAATATTTTTTTCTTGATTTATGATTATCTTTGAACAACACAAAGTATTTTATAAGAATGTAATGTGACTATCTTTGATAACAAATATCAGTTGATATTAACTAACTGAACTTTGGAAATACATGACATTCCTAGTTCACAAATGGTTAAACTTTGATTCGACATTTAATTGCAAAAATATATGAAAAAAATTAATAATTAAAACTGACAAAGATAATGATAAGAATTTAATCATTAAATAATCATTTAATTGAATTTTTTTTGCAGGTGAAGTCAATTAGAAATCTGAATGGCCATTCGATTTCACCTTACCGCATACACGCCGGGAAAACGGTACCGATAGTTAGAGGTGGCGAAGCAATCCGAATGGAAGAGAACGAATTCTATGCGATCGAAACTTTCGGCTCTACTGGCAGAGGCGTGGTTCACGATGACATGGAATGTTCGCATTACATGAAGAGTTTTGATGCTGGTTTCGTGCCATTGAGATTGCAGAGCAGCAAGTCTCTTCTCAACACTATCAACAAGCATTTCGGTGAGAAGTCTAAAGATACTTTTAGTTTAAAAAAGTTTTACTTAACAGATCTGAGAATTCGAATACTTTCCACTTTATTCATGTTTTAGGTACTTTGGCTTTTTGTAAACGTTGGTTGGACCGCGTCGGTTGTACCAAATACCAAATGGCGCTGAAAGATCTTTGTGAAAAAGGCGCCGTGGAAGCATATCCGCCGTTGGTCGACGTCAAGGGCTGTTACACTGCTCAGTTTGAGCATACACTCGTTCTGCGTCCCACATGTAAAGAAGTCATTTCTCGCGGTGACGACTATTAAAGCGTAGCCGTTGTTTTACATGAATTATTATCGGATGTCAAGATGTATTTTAATCTCGATGTAACATCATTATCGAAGCATCGTACTCTAATGTTCGATGCGAAAAATAATCATTGTAATACGTTAGTAACGACATTTCTGAGTGTACTATCCGTAACTTCGGTTTTTTCTCGATCGCAAAGAAGTAAACAGGATTCGACATGGACGATAAAAACGTATATACTAACAACAACAACCTAAAACACCAGGTGTGTCCTTGCGTCATTTAAATGTGTCTCCTTCGTATTTTTACTTTTTTTTTTATTTCTACTGATATATGTACTTCGAGAAAAGGGTCTGTATTCGCCGTTATATTTCTCGCAATGTTTTTTTTTATCCACTTTATTACTGGTTCCTTACACGTTGGAATGGAAATGACGGGGTTGATGTTTAGTGTTGAATAAAATATATTTGGAATCCGAGATTTTATCATTGCGACGATCTCTCTTAAGGTCCTGAATATCTTGATTAAGTTTATGTTAAACTAAATATGACAAACATAAGTTAGCATATACATACACGTGACAACTGTACAAAAAGAAAACGAAAATATCTTCTGTTTGTGGCTCCTCTATTGGTTGGATATACATATATTTTCTTAAATGCGAGTTATATATTATAAGAGCCTTGTGTGAATCGCTTGATAAATTAAAGTTGTAACAAACTTAACGGTTTATATTATTTTCGATCTAATGATGCTGCGCACCTTTGTAAGATTCGTCAAATAATGAGCCACAAAATATAGTTAAATTTAATGTCGATACTTAAATACGATTAATAATAATTGTTACTATGTAAGGCAGATGTCGGATTTGTCTCACTGCCATATAACGAAGTACAAGAACACATGGTCCCGCGGAGTCCTGACTTTATTCGTCTCTTGTCTCCTAGCGGAAACTACTTTTACTTTCAAGTGGCATCACTTTCATATAAACGTAACGATGTAATTTTGTCGTTTAATTCTCAGAGATTATTTGAAAATAATGTTAAGCTCCAGTTGATTTGTTTATAGCTGCTCACGGCGTCCAGAAGCCATCGCGACAAATTGATAATTTGAACAATGAATCATGTGATTTGTTGCACGTTATCTTCACGGAATCGTTTCTACGTTTATCGTAAACGAGTTTATTTATTCCGTGATGTAAAAAAATGAAAACAAAGTAATGCCACCATCATCGATCTAAGCTTCGTACAAAATACATTCTATCTACGTGCCCGAAATCGCGTCGAAGATCATGGAAAACATCATCGTGACTTTCTAGAGAGAAGGGAAGGGATTCTCGTCTTCGACACTAAGAGAACTTACAGAGACGTGGATACGTATCGCGGATATCCGGGCATTCGCGATTCGTGACTCGTGCTCGAGCGATTAATCCTAAACGCAAAACGGATATCATTTTGCCTGTAACGAAATGATAGATTTTATTATCAGTGTGTAGACAAATGTTTCGAGAGCGAACCTTGGCAAATATTCGCCACTGACAATTTTTATGACATAATTATGAACATTCTCAAATAAAAGAAAAAATTTAATATCGCTTAAGACCAAAGGCTCGGAGCAGAGACAATTTCCCATTTAAATGATTTGAATAATCGGCAAACATCATTCATAATTAAATTTTTTCGCGTTATCTCGTCGTCTACAACTACTATCTATTGTCGATCTGTCCTACTGTGTTATCCCGTTGCCAATGTCTTCGCAACGAAATCTCCGTCCTCGTAAGAAAAAATACGTCGATTATTGTATCCGAGTCAACGTTAACACGTACAATATAACTGGATTACCGCGATTACCGTATATAATAACGTTATTGTGTTGACATACTAATTGGTCGTCAAACGCATACTAAGCTCGACTGATCTACTATTAAACGAAGACACGTGGTTGGTTGTTGATTGTATTGTACATTGAGATACCCGATGTGCGATGCGTTTTACGAGAACCACTTGTGTGCTGCTTGATCCGGGGCAATATGCACACGACACTATAATTTACGGCGTCTAAACACATCATAAAGATAGTCTTAATTTTTAAGACACGATGTCATTTTGGTTCTTCGTGTTATTTAGGAATGATTTTACGATGGATTGACGCGGCTATGTGGCGCGTTAAACATCCATGAAATGTTCTTCGAGATAGATGCCCAGCGATCCTGCTCGTGATAGCAATCAAATGCGCGCTCGTTACGTTCCATCGTGTTATCTTAACGCCTATTAAGATCTAACGCCTGTTACAACACGCATCTTTCGACGCGCCAAATGACGCCGTTAATAATCCTTGTGTCAAGGAAATCTTATCGGGTTATGCATATGTACACTGATTGCAATCGATAAAGCGCTGAAGGGTGAAATTACGAGCCGTCCATTCGAGCGAATCGTTCTCTTCACCCAGGCGCGACATCGGTTTGCGCGACCTTCGATCTTCACCGGCTTCACTGGGACTCGGTGCGCGGCCTCAACTTCGCTCTCGCCGTTATCAGGAGATTGGTTGGCGGCTCCGTCGTCGCCCGCGATTGCTCCTGCTACAAAAAAATTATTTAATGAAGAAATTATTTAATAAAGAAGCATATACAGAGTTTAGCTTGATAATAAGTTGCATATTTGAATTGAAATTATTTATATTTATCTTATGTTATTTCGAACAAAATTTGTAATCTGATATTTGGACGTCTGGTGATTAAAATTTAAGTATTCTAGGAGGAAATTAAGGTGTCAAATGATGGATAATCTTTGAAGATTAGGATTCATTGTGGTTTTCTACAATAAGTCATTACCTAAGCTTTAAGTTTTAAGCCGTCAGAAATTGACCCGAATATAAAAAAAAATACTCGACTATGGTCAATTTCTTACAACTTAAGACTTAAAGCTTAGGTAATAGCTTATTATAGAAAGCATTAGAGTTTAAGGATTCTAAAAGGGAAGAATTCACAAAGGTATTAAACGATCGATAATACTTGAAGATTAGGATTTCGGTAAAACGAAGAATAGAAGCATAAAAACTGAATAGTTTCTTTGGAGAATTCGGAAAGGTAAAGATTCAAATGTCAAGATCCGAAACCTAAAAATATAATATGTCAATATAATAATTTTACAAAGTAAAGGATTAGCTAATTATGTCCTATCTCGGATTACCGTTAGTTGAACGTGTCTTGCTCTCTGTTCAATCGCCCTTTGCAAGGCAGTCCTGGGATCATCCTTGTAACTTTCCTCACGGATCCTCTCAGCTTCCCTCCTCGACGCAGCTTCCCTCTGTTTCTCCAGGGCACGTTGCAACTCACTTTTTTGGTTCAAGACGTTCTTGCCGCTACAGAAAAAAAGGAGAAGTATATATTTAATGAATCCGGGCCAATTCTTTTTGATTAAAAAGAAAAGCGGCTTTCGCTGCTGTTATAACAATAATAATCTCCAGAGTATAAAAATTGAAACGTTTTAGAGAAATGCGAATGTCAAAAATAAAATCGAATGTACGAAATAAAATTTTGAAAAATTCTTAAATAAATAAATTTCTAAATAAAAGTTATATTAAATAAAATAAATAAAATATTAAATAAAATAATAAATAAATAAAATAGTGAGCATTTTTGCGCGCGCATAGTAATAAAGATACGTTCATTTTACAGACAGATAAGAACGAGTCATAAAACTACGTTGTCTTGATCGCAAGTGAAGAAACCACGCGTGCGAATTGGCGTGAATTACGTGCCAAGGTAAAAGTCGGTAAGCGTGAACCGCTTAATTCCATCGAAGCGTGAAGAATCGCAAGGTGCGCCGAGTACGAGCGCGATCACGTACCGATTAGACGTAAACAGGGAATTAATGTGGAAACACATTTGATGCTATCACGATTGACCGCGATCGAAAATAAGTGTACGTAATCACGTGAGAAATAATGTTTTATCAAGCGAGATTTGAACTCGCACGATCTGGTACTCGATCACGCTCGGATTAACGCACAATAAAAATAAATTCGTTTTACGGTAGCACTAGCTTTCATCAGGAAGTTTTTACAGGTGGCTAATCGGCTTTCCATTTTCATCACGAGTATTAATCACCTCTCCTTGTATTAATTAATAGTATTAATTAATTTTAAACGCACGAGAGAAGCGATAAAATATTTACTTTAGGGAGGATCTCTCTTTCGTTCCGGCCTTACCGCAGACGGAATAAAAGAAACCGTGTGCCTAAATGAAAAACTTCTCGTCAAGAATTCAGTTGAAGAATTAATGAAATAAAATATATTCAGAGAAACTTTATATAGTGAATTTATTAAGAGAAATTTTTATATAAAAAAAGACTTTAAGAAAAGAAATTATCTTGCGATTAATTCTGTTGTAATTCTAGCAGAAAAGGAACAGTAACCGTTTCTAATTTAAATTTCCAATTTCTAGTTTACGTCATTATTTAAATCGAATAAAAAGTTTTTATTGAACTTGAAGAAATTGTGATTTATCTCTGCAAAGAGATACAATACTTTCGTAGAGATACTATTTTCAATCTTATTACAAAATTGTAGCGTTAACTTAACTATGTTAATGCTACATTATATTGCGTGTAGTGTTGATTTAACTCTGTTATCAAATTATAATTAAAGAGCATTTTTTGACGACTCGAAATAATTGAGAGAACAGGAGGGCAAATTTCGTCTTTTAAATTTTGAAGGAACTCGGCTTACATTTTCTGGTTGAAGAGTAACTCCCTGTGAAGGTCCTTATGATTAGTGGAGATAAGGCAAGGGTTATATGGTTTCCTCGGCAAGATCAGGCCATCTGGTCCCATGTGAGGAGCCGGTGGTGGTGGAGGCGGTATCCCTAGAACCGGTGCCATTTTTCTTTCTGAAAAAGAAAATACAAGTTCTATAAACGATCTCCTGAGACTCAAGTGGTATATCGTATTTGCATGACAATCGCGAGCATCGCTTTTTTATTCTAATAAATCTCCAATCCTCATACAAGAAATCATTTCGCTCTTCCAAGAATTCGAGAGAATAAGTCAAAGATAAAATTGTATTATCATTTATATCGATGGAATATAAATAGATGTTTAGTTCGTTGAAATTGTTTATGTTGCAAACATTATTATTAATATTACAACAAGAAATCTGTTCGTGCTGTTTGCACTTTTTGAAACCAGCATTTTTACTTTCTCTCTTTTTTTTAAGTGCAAACATTTTTAGGGATTTCAAGCAACACGAACAGATTTAAGATTACTAGTATATAATATTACATTATATAAATAATTGAATAAATAATGTTCAATTTTCTCGAGCTATTAAAAAATGAGTTAGCCTACTTTTACTAACGTCTTTCGTTTGTAATAGAAGTATAGTCGCGTGACTGAAATTGAATAGTATCGTTCACTCGGCTTTTTAGCCTTATTACAAAACTGCAACGTTAATTCAACTACTTACATTACGAAATTTTAATTAAAGAAGAATTTTTTAACGCTTTTGAATAATCGAGAGAACGGAAGGCGAATATTTCTCTGGCAATCCATCCATAAATGAAGATTAGGTGAAGTTTATGAATTATTTTCTTCTCGACAGAATAAATACTCTACTAATGCACACGATCACTCCGAAGTTGGCGAAAGTACACACCATGATGTAAGAAGACCAGAAATTAATTAACATCGCGCATAATGGCTGCTGGAATATAATTTGGAGCAAATTTCTAATAGCAGCTTTATATTAATTTATAAAATTTGAAGCCAATTTCTGACGTCGTCATTATCCAAACAACACACACGTCCAAAAACGAAACATAAGACGTCTTAAAGACGCCTAAAAGACATCTTAAAGACATTAAAAGAAAAAAAAGATGTTTTAAAGACGTATAAAAGACATCTTTAAGAGATCTTATGTCTGGATTTTGAAGTCTTTTTGTTGTCTGGGTATTTTAAAGTGTGCATCCTTGAAATTGGTTCGTCTGGTCTTC